AGGGGAGCCTGGACTGCCTTTGGGTTCCGAAGGGGGGGATAGCTTCGGAAGCTCCGCCCCCCTCTTCCAAGGGGGAGGGTAATTTCAAGTTGGGGCCCCCTTTGCAGTGAGCAGTGCGCCACGAGAGCGCTCTTTCACAGACATCTCCCTCTCTACGTGGATTTCTAGTGCGACTTCTATGACGATCGTGCGCACGCAAATTCGACGGGCACCTGCTACCTAACTTTCACGCAGGTTATTGCCATGTGTGCTGTGCTACACCCTGCGAAATGCTTAAGAAATCATGGGTTAAGAAATTCATGGTCTCAGGACTTGAACAAAACCCAGAACTTCTATCAAAATCTTGGGAGTTACATTGAAAAGTTGAGAATAATCGAGACTATGGACGAAAACTTAAGTTTTCTTAAGCATCGCCTGAGGTGTAACATGTCCAATAACTGCACGCCCGAGCAACATTCCCAGACGATACTGCGGGCGTCAGCGCCCGAACGTGTGCGCGTTCCTCCGCGGTGGATCCGGAGCTTGTTTGTGGGATCTCTTGAAGGGGAACTGGGACACACAAATAAATACACACAAATAAAAATATGCCCCATATTTTCCCATATTTTCTGGGTTTCTGTCTTCCAGCCCACTTCCCATATTTTCCCATATTTTCCAGGGAGTCGACGATAAAGTGTGTCTGTGTGTTTTTTCCCCTCCTGATCTCTGTCAATCAGGAGGAGAACCTTGAAATTGCGTTCGGCCCTACTTGGCGTCCCTTCGGACGCTCTCGAACCATACACCCTGCGAAATGCTTAAGAAACCATGGGTTAAGAAATTCATAGTCTCAGAATTTGGATAAAAAACCCAACTTCTACTAAAAAGTTAGGATTTCCATTGAAACAATAAGAATAATCTAGACTCTGGCCGAAAACTTAAATTTTCTTGAGCATCGCCTAAGGTGTATGCCTGGACCCTCTGGGGTCGCCTTGGTTCGTTCCGTGCGGCCCCGCAGGACGCACTGCAACGACCACTGGAAACGGGGGATCAGCCAGGTACGCAACGGCCTCTCGACCTGGCAGAATCCCATCGCAGCCTGCAAACCCCTGGATGAAAGTCCAGACCACTGAGGTCGGGCAAGAAGCGTTGCTCGTTTGCCGTTGAAGCCGCGGGACACAATGCAATAGTGAGTGACCATCTTGCGATCATCTGGTGCAAAATCGCTCCTGTTAATGTTGCACTGGCCAAAGGGGTGCGGACGGGAAAGTGGCATGCCGCTCAAGGCTTCGTCGAACCACAGCTCTCATGTCGCAGGGCGAACAGATTATTTCTCAGGATTGTGGAAACCAGCGATGTCGCGCGGGTTTTCCTGAACACATCCCCAGCCCCATTCCACACCGCCAAGCAGTTACGTTTTCGTTTCAAACTTCCTGAAATCCAAATTTCTGGTCTCATTAAACCCCTTCTAAACCGTCGAGTTCGTGCAAGACTTCTGCAAACTCGACGATCGAGAACGATCTCGTAACGAACATTCAGAAGTGACCCCTTCGTTGAGTGCCGATCCAGACTTTTCAGTCGAGGGGGCGCTTACACGCCTAACCTGCATGGGTGGCATCACCCGTTCAGATATGGGGCACTGTGGCTCAAGGCCAGGCAGAATCATGTGCTGAGAGGCGCTGGCAGAGGATGCAGGCGGACCCCCCCCCGAAGGCAACGTCCATCGCTCAGATCTGCAGCCATGTTGGCTCAACGCCCATCGCGCAGCCACGTGCAGCGAGCGGGCAAGGCTGAATGGCCAGATTGCACTTGTTTGCTTCAGACTTCTGCTCGAGTCCATGGACTGCCTGTGCTATACTTCTCCAGAGACGAAGCGGCTGTGCTACGTGCTAAGACTCGCGGGGGGCGAGGGAGGAGCGGGGGAGAGGACAGGCAGAGGAGAGAGGGGAGGTGAGGGGAGGGAAGGCCAGATTGCACTTACCATCCCTTTTTCCATATTGTTCTGCAGCCACTCGTGGCAGGAGGGAGAAAATCCGCGGCCCTTCGAGGGAGGCATCCAGCACCACGGACCTGAAAAAAGGCAACGCACCCGGCTAATGCAGAGACATCGCCCAGACGGTGTGGCAAGCCTCCTCAACAGGCTGTCCTGCGAGCGCGGCCGAAACACCGCCGATCGGAGTCGGCAGCATCCCTAAGTCATGATCGAATGGCCGGCCAAGGAGAGCGGACCAGGCAATCGCATGCCGCCCACAAGGCTTCGTGGAACAGAACCTCTCTGGCCGCAGGGCGACCACACCGGAAGGGTTGGCGATTGTGTGTGGGGGGGGACTTCCTGGGGTGCACGCAGCAGAATCTCGAGGAGGATCCGGCTGTGGTCACGAGATGCCTCCTGGGGTCCAAAAGAGCAGAACACAGTCATCGCAAAGCCCTGTCCGATCCTCGAAGCTCGATCCTTTTGGAGCAGGAGCCCTTCGGGGGCTCGGGGCGGACGAGGGGGCATCAAAGGAAGGGGATACCGAATCGGCTGCATGCACCGTTTTCGCCACGCCGTGCATCGAGGAGAGGTCCCGGCGGCACAACTGAAACCGACCGCATGCAGAATATGTCCTACACCCCTTTCCCACTCCCCCCGCTCGTCCGGCCCGAGTGTGGGGAAACATCGAAAATCGCTGCTGCTACCAGTCTGTTGGAATAAGTGGGTAGAAGCAGGCTTCCGCCCGCCCCCTGACCAAGGAAGGAAGTGGAAGTCGCACTCGATGATTGGAGCAGGAGGGCGCCTAAAACATTTTGGGGCCTGGGAATCCAGAAATCCGCCGACCCTGTCGGCGTGTGGACCCCTGTCGGCGTGCGCTCAGTCGACGCATCCATTGTCCTCTTTCCCTGCGTCTCCGTCGTCCCCTTTCCCTGCACCCTCCTCTTCAAGCCTGCCAGCGAGAGAAAACCGTAGCAACTTCGTACTTAAGTCGAAGGGAAGCCCCTTGCCTTTGATCCCTCCCCCGCCGAGAGGGGTGGGGGGGCCCGGGGGGGGTCCTGGGGGGGTCCTAAAGGGAGGGGGTCAGATATGCATCCACCCCTGGGCGTCCTGGAGCTCAAAAAAGCGCCAAGACGCGCCAAGAGTGCCATAAGAGGCGCATTCGTCGTCGTCGTCTTCGTATTCGTCGTCATCTCCAGGGTCGGCGGCACCGGCCGTAAGGCCGTAGCAATACCTACAGTCGACCCGTATCATAAGGATGCGCGATAGGGATGCAAGGGCCTCGGAAGGCCACTTCGAAGCTTTTCGAGCGGGGCGCGGCCAATAAAAGTGGTCAAGGTTGCCCATCCTTACCCTGCGGGTTGACTGTACTTCCAACGACCCGCGTGCAAAAGTGCGACCGCGGCTCCTTGGAGCCCTCCTGTCGGGCCGGGCGAAAGGGGGGGATAGCAAAGGGGGGGGGGGGGCGAGAATCAGCTCACGGAGCCGACTTTCCTGGCGCCTCCCGGCGCCGGAGGCGGCCATGCATCGGGGAATGGGCCCCTCGGCGGGGCCGAGACCAGCTGCGTGCAGCAGACCTCGCTGCCGCGGCTCCTGCAGCGGACCCCTCCTGCGGCACACCCCCACCGGGAGACCCCGCGGCGGCCCGCGACCCCCCCCGGCGCGGCGACGAGGGCCCGGGCGCCCCCTCAGAGGGGGCAGCGGGGCAGCGGCGCCGTCCTCTGCTCTGCCGGGAGGACTCGCCACCGCTCGTGCGTTCAATTCCCCTATGCCTCGGCCGGTCCCATACGTCATTGTATGGTGCTCGCCGAGGAGAGAGAGAGAGAGAGAGAGATTGTTTGTTTTTTTTGTTTTTGGTTTTTTGTTTGTTTGTTTTTTTTTGCAATCCTTCGAGAGAGGCTAAGACGAAGCCAGAACGGGGATCAGACCGGGCGAGGGCACGCCGAACAGCTCCGAGAGCCGGCGGCTCGGCCGGGGATGCCTCGGGCGCAAGCGGCCTTCGGAGAGCGCTCCGGAGCGCTCTGACAGCGCTCTGGAACGCTCTGGAACAGATTTATCCTCATCCAAGCCCCGTCCGATGACGTGAGGTCGCAAAAGCAATGTGTATATATAGAGAGAGAGAAGAGAAAGAAAACAAAGAGATACAGTAATACATACATCAACAATAATAATAACAACAACCATAACAGCAGCAACAACAACAGTAATAACAGCAACAGCAACAACACCAATAACACCAACACCAAAACCAACAACACCAACACCAACACCAACACCACCACCACCAACACCAACAACACCAGCAATAACAACAACAACAGCAACAGTAACAATGACAGCAACAACAACACCAACAACAACAACACCAACAGCACCAACAACACCAACAACACCAACACCCACACCCACACCCACACCAACACCAACACCATCACCACCAACAACAACAACACCAACACCAACACCAACAACACCAAGAACACCAAGAACACCGACACCAACACCAACACCACCAACAACACTAACACCGACACCAACACCGAGACCAACAACAACAACAACCACAACAACAACACCAACGACAACAACAACGACAGCAACAACGACAGCAACAACAACAGCAGCAGCAGCAACAACAACAAATGGCGCTGCATAACGCGCCGGGGCGCGGCCGCCAAAGGTGTATGTGTGGTGCGCCGTTCCTCCTCCGAGCCAAGGCCTGGGCGGCCCAGGGGAGAAGGACCGCGAGGAGGCGGAGGCGGAGGCGGAGGCGGAGGAGGAGGAGGAGGAGGAGGAGGAGGAGGGGCGGAGGAGGAGGAGAGGAGGAGGAGGAAGGGGAGGCGGAGGAGAGGATGAAGAGGAGGAGGAGAGAAGGTGAGGAGGAGGAGGATGAGGAGGAGGAGGGAGGAGTTGTGAGGGAGGAAGGAGGAGCAGGATCTGGAGGATGCGGAGGCGGAGGAGGAGGGGGGAAGAGGACAGGGCTGCGACCCTGCCCTTGTGCATCATCTCCGGCCGCGGGGATGCTGGGGCCCTGCCCCCCCCCCCTCGGCACTGATCGGCTTGGGAGGCGGCACGCTGCGGGACTGGCGGGAGCGCGTCGGCAGCGGCGCGTCGTCGCCCTCCCCTGGCCCCGTTCGGGTGTGGCGGCTGCTGCGGGGGTCGCGCCGCACGCCCGCCCCTGCTTCTGCTCCTGCTCCTCCTCCTCACCCTCCTCCTCCTCCTCTTCCTCCTCCTCCTCCTCCTGCACCTCCTCCTCCTCCTCCTCCTCCTCCTCTCCTCCGCCTCCGCCCCCTCCGCCTCCGCCTCCGCCTCCGCCTCCTCCATCCCCCCCCGCCTCCCCCCCCCCCTCCGCTCCGCCTCCGCCTCCTCCTCCTCCTCCTCCTCCTCCTCACCCCTCCTCCTCCTCCTCCTCCTCTCCTCCTCCTCCTCCTCCTCTTCCTCCCCCCCCTCCTCGTCCTCCTCCTCCTCCTCCTCCTCCTCCCACCGCCGCCGGGTCAGGGGGTGCAGCGAAGGGGGAACGAGGATGGCGCCCTGGAGCTGAGCAGGAGGAGGCGGGCGAGGACTGAGCTCGAGCTGGACAATGTTTATCGTGTTCGCTTCGTGGCCGGTATTTTCCTCGCTCTGTCTCTTCGTTCCGCTTTTGTTGCTGCAAAGCGGAATCACGACGAAAACGGCCCACGAGATCGCCGAAGCGCCGTTTAGCTGGAGCCCTGGGCGAGGACGAGGCGGCGGGTGCGTCCAGGCACAGCGGCCATCCATGCACTGTCGGTCCAAGGCAAAATGGGGAGGCGGAGGAGGACGGGAGGGGGGAGGGGGGGGGGGGAAGGGGGCGGCGGAAGAACAACAGGATGAGAATGAGGCTGTAGCCGTTTTGGCTCAAGTCCGTAGCCGGAGGCCCAGGACGAGAGATCCGCGGCACAGGGCGGAGCGGCCCCAAAAGTTCTCGGTGTGCGGCGTTGGGGGTCCCCACCACAGTTTCAGTGCCTACGGTGATTGTGCTTCCCACTACTGCAGGGCTATGGTACCCCGCCGCCCAAACCTAGTGGTGGTTGGAAGTGCTCTGCTTGCGGTTGCGCTCGCAAGGAGTGGAGATGGACGCGGTGCAAGCACAGCGGAAAGGCGTGGGACGACGTTTCTGCCAGTGAACCAGGTAGTAACTGTACAGTCTTCTGCGGCAGTAGCAAGGTGCAAGGGGTAAATTATGCAGCCAATTCGTTCGGAGGTGGCTCATCGCAGCCCAAGCCTATCCCCTTCGCCAATGAGCAACAGCAGGAGGTATGTGAACAAGATCTCATGCAACTGGTGGCGATCCATGGCGAGATGGCTGATTTGCTGATAGCGCAAACATACCGGAAGCAGCTCAAGCAGCTCAAATCTAAGTCTGGAACCATTGAATTATCTCTCCAGGCGAAGGCGGACAAAACTCATAAGCGTAATATCTACTCGGAGAAACCACAACTGGGTGAACATGTTCAGTTGTAGGAGAAGATCACGGCCCAAGCCTCCGATCACGCTGGGCTGATCAAAAACATCCATGTTCGGTTTGAGAACTTAAAGCCGCCATCCAAGAGCTGCACCTGGGTGTCTCAGGGACCCAGACTCCCTCTGTCCGTGTTGGCACGCTCGCGTTCGAAGGTATCATGGACGAGAGAATTGAGCGACGAGAAGGCAGGGGCCTTCCTTATGATGGCGTAGTGATCTCACGCCGCAGTTTACGCGGGCCGCCAGCGCTGCACGCTACACTGGAGACGAGGGCGCGGGTGGAGGAGGAGGAGGAGGAGGAGGAGGAGGAGGAGGCGGACGAGGAGGAGGCGGAGGGCGGAGGAGGAGCAGGAGGAGGAGGAGGTTGAGCAGGAGGAGGGGGGCGGCCGACGGGGAGGGCGTCCAGGAGGGGGGGGGGGGCACGGATCATGGCCGGCGGCACGTGCGCGGCCCAAGTAGGGGGGGGGGGGCAGGGACGTCGGGGAAGAAGAAGGAAGAGGCGCCACGGAATCGGAGGAAACATCCTGGCCCGCGCCATGATTCCCCCCCCCCTCTAGTCATCACTCCCCCTTCTTGGCCGCCCCCGAGAGGCCAGGGCCAGCACAGAGTCGGACCGGGCCAGCACAGCCAACCCGTGCAAGAAGGAGGCACGCTCAGGATGCAAGGGCCTCGGAGGGCCGTGCCGACGCAGGGCGAGCGGGGCGCGGCCAGCGAGAAAGCGGCCAGGGAGTAATAATAATAAGCGGCGTGGAGGCGCGCAGAGTTCTCGACTTCAGCTGTCTTCTCGCGGGGACGGCGGCACAGCGGCCTAAATGTAATATGGAAGGAAACTGCTAACCAGTTTCACGATACGGAAAACGAGGAGAGGATGCAGGGGCAGCCTTGGAAAGTCGCTCGACCTCACTATGCGGGTTGACTGTGTCGGGGCTCTCCGAGATCCCGCGGCTCTGGCGGATGCATCGGGCGCAGCGGCCGTTGCAGAGCGCTCCGCAACGCTCTGGGTCGGGAAAAGAAACACTCGACCAGGATAGTAAGGATGCGCGGTGAAGATGCAAGGGCCTTGGAGCGCCATGTTGTCGTTTTCCGTGCGGAGCGCAGCAGAATGCCGAAGGATGGCGAATACCGAAGGGGCAAGGATGCAAGGGTAGCCTTGGAAATTTGCCCCATCCTTCCTATCATGGTTGACTGCATTATAGGCATTAACTTTCGGAGGTCAGCGTGGATTTCTCGGATCGTCGCTCCGACGGCCTGGCGGCGCCTCCAGCGCCGCCCCTGGCGCGCTCCGCGCGTCAGGGAGGGGGGGCCCGGCGCCGATCCAAGAAACCCGCGCGGACTTACAAAAGCTTATGCTTGTGCCACTGTTCGCTCCTCCACCGAGAGCGTTCAAGAACGTGGAGGAGGAGGAGGAGGAGGAGGAGGAGGAAAAGGAGGCAGCCACGCCCGAGGGTCGGCGGTGTGAGGAGCGGGGAGGGGAGCGGGGGACGAGCGGCCTGACCAGCTGGGTGCCGCGCCCGTCCTCGCGTCTCTGCCCCTGCGCTCCCCGGATTTCCGCTGTGCCTCGTCCCGCCGCTTGCCCGCCCTGTTGCTCCTCCGTCCGCCGTGGTGCATCCACAGGCGTTCCACCTTCCGCCCCGCCCCTCCCCCTCCTCCAGCTCCTCCTCGAGGCTTTCCCCCTGGGGCCTGGCGAGGGCCCCCAGAAGCTGAGAGCGGCAAAAACTTCCTTGGTGTTTGACGCAACATCCAGGCAATGGAAAAACGACCGCCACTGAGTGTTACGCGGGTCGCCACCTCCTGAGGACACGAACCCAGGATCCCCAAAAACTCTACAAAGCGACCAAAACAGACCACCAACACGTCCCCAGCTCTGGATCGTCCTTCCTCCTCGACCCTCGATTTCCGGAGGAGGCGGTGACTCTCCTAGTTCGGGCGCGCGCTAACCTGCGTCATGGATCGGCAGACATGGCGCGCGGGCGCAAGATGCACAGATCGTGGGAAGCAGGGACGCCTGATTTGGCGCTGGAGCGCGCCGATTCTGTATCCCAGACGCCAGACGTCACATTTTCTTTCGCAACGAGGACCCCCAGAGATCTGGACCCCTTCTCGTCAGCGCGAGGGGGGTCTGCGCCGCTCGGGGCGACGGGGGAGATCCTCCAACCTCCTCCTCCTCCTCCGCCTCCTCCTCCTCTCCTCCTCCTCCTCCTCCTCCTCCTCCTCCTCCTCCTCCTCCTCCTCCTCCCCCTCCCCCATCCCCTCTCCCTCCCCGTCCCCCTCTCCCCTCCTCCTCCTCCTCCTCCTCCTCCTCCTCCTCCTCCTCCTCCTCCTCCTATCAATGTTCGTCCTCATCATCCTCTTCCTCATCCTCCTCCTCCTCCTCCTCCTCCTCCTCCTCCGCGTCCTCCTCCTCCTCCCGCTCCTCCCCCTCCTCCTCCTCCTCCTCCTCCTCCTCCTCCTCCTCCTCCTCCTCCTCCTCCTTTCCTTCCTCCTCCTAACATTATTATTCCGCATCGTCAGATTCCTCTTCCTCCGCCTCCTGCTCTTCCTCCTCATCCTCCGCCTCTTCCTCCCACTCCGCATGTTCCTCCTGCTCCCTCCTCCTCCGCTTAGTATTCGGCTTCGTCTTATTCCTCTTCTTCTTAATACTAATATTAATTATATTATTATCATTATTAGTATTATTCGTATTAATAGTCATATTAGTCTGATCCGTCTTCTTCTTCGCCTACTGAGTATTCTTCTTCTTCTTCCTAGTATCAATATTAATCTTAGTATTCGTGTTAGCAGCGTTCGTCTTCGTATTCTTCTCAGTCTCTTCTGATTAGTATTCGTCGTCTGCGTAGTATTATTCTTCTTATTCGGATTAGTATTCGTATTCGTCGTCGTCGTCGTAGTAGTAGTAGTGTGGTTCTTCTTTGTCTTCGTAGTCGTACTATTAGTATTCCCCCTCCTACGCCTACTCCTCCTCCTCCGTCTCCTCCTCCTCCTCCCCCTGTCATCCTCCTCCTCCTCCTCATCCTCATCCCCCTCCTCCTCCTCCGTCCTCCTTCCTCCTCCTCCTCCTTCTCCTCCTCCTCCGCCTCCTCATCCTCCTCCTCCTCATCCTCCTCCTCCCCATTTCCTCCTCCTCCTC